CCCCTCCCTTCATGTCTGGCTTCTCTCTCTCTCTCTCTCTCTCTCTCTCTCTCTCTCTCTCTCTCTCTCTCTCTCTCTCTCTCTCTCTCTCTCTCGTGTGCGCACGCGCGCGCAGTGTCTTCTGTCACTCAACCTCCCTTAGCGCGCAAGCTCTCTCTCTCTCTCTCGATAGCCCACCTAGGATCTACCCTGAATACAGCTGCAATGTGTCACTTCCATGACCGCCGTCTTTTGCCTCCCTACTTCTACAGCTACCGGCAGTTGACTCTTGTCGCCAGGGCTCTTGCTTCCCTGTCTGGCGCTTGTCCTCTGTCCAGGTCGCACAGTCGCACAAGTGACAAGCGGCGCTTCTGCAACCAACTGCTTTCACTTGGCTCTGCTGTAGCTAAATATAGCTGCAGTTGACTGTGTTTGCCTGCTTCGGACCGGTACCCGTCGCCCGCGGCCTCTGCTTGCCAAAATTGTTGTTTCGGAAGTCTCCGGACTCTCTTGGGATGCTGCTGCAACTTTGGACTTTGGGACTTGACTTCCTCTGCAGGTACCGGTGTACTTTTAACGACCTGTGACGTTTCGGTACTGCAGCCTAGCGACCTACGATGCTTCGACCTATGGACTTTATGGCCTACCCTACCGGGACAGCTTGGGACCGGTGTCTAGTGGAGGAATGGTTTGCGCACCCCCGTGTTTAAACCCCTGTCCCCCCAACGACTGTCACCTGCTGGAGGGGCTCAAACACGATGCCTCTTTCGTTTCTGCTTTTTATCTGCTCGAGTATAACACAAGTGTCAAAGAAGTGAAACTAACCGTACAAGGGGAAAAAAAATTGAGAATTCAGTTGTTTTATTCAAATAAATAATTTGGGGTTTTGCAATCATCACTAGTAGGCCACTGGTCTTTTCAATTATCCTATTCCCTGAAGTGTCGTCTCGGGTCTTAGAGTCAGACCTGACTCATTGCTGAGTTTGCTGAGTACAGCATGCCTGTGGAATCTGGTTCAACCGTTCTCCAGTCTTCTGTTCGCTGCTGAACCCGAACTTAGAGTATGCAGGTTCTTGCTGCGTTATGGATTCTAAATCCACAGCCTCTCGCTGTCTGCCCGAGACTGCGGTCTGTGGATGCAGCACTTCTCTGGTTCTGAGTCTCCTATTTGTTGGAACTGTTGTCTGCTGTCTGCAGAGCACAACGGCTATCTGCTTAGTCTAAGTCCCCCCCTTTGCTGTTGGAAATCTGGTGGGCATAGCTTCAGTCTGCTTACTCCGAGTCTCCTTTTCACTGAGATTATCGCCATCTATGTGCTGAGTGCAGATTTTCTGACGGCTTGCAGCACCAGCAATCACTGAGACCTGCCAGTTTCCGACTCTCAATCTGAACACTTGAGACTTGCAAATCTTCAATCTTGCAGGTACTGTGGACTTGATTAGTGGAGCCTCTTCTAGCCTACTTTTGGTAGAGGCTTGCTGAGACTGTATTCAAGTATGATGACCAATTATAATCTGCTGAATTGTCTCGCTGTGGCTGTTTCCGGTTGCAGGTTCTCAGGTATGGGTTGGTTCGGATGTAAGGGCTCCAGGTGGTGTAACATGCTATAAGGCACGCAGCCAAGTCCATGCTTGAGAACCTGGTTCACAACTCTCTCCAGAAGACTAGGTCTGTTTTTGTCATCCTGAACCGGTAGTCCTTCCCGTAGGAATCTCACTGCTCTCTTTCTTTCCCTACTTACCGCAAGTCACTTCCTACCATGGGTGCTTCCCATGAGCACCACTTCTTGTTCAGCTCACTCATTTACTGGTTTGGCCATGTCAAAGGCAGGGAAAAAAAAGATTCTCAAATCCTTCATAAATGAGCCAGTGCATACAAAGAGTACCTGAGCTTTTTTTTTTGTTTTAGATATAATTCCAGATGTACCTGGTCCATTGTTACAGACCCAGCCAGGGCTCGATCTCTGGTCCGCGAGTTACCACCCGCCAGGCTGCTATTCTATTTTTTTTGGAGTCTCTGATCTCCAGTTCCTGACTGTTGGCGCCCTCTGCAGTTGGCGCCCGTTCTCAAATCCCGCCTCTGCCACTTTCGGATTTCGTACTTGGCGCCATCCGGCATTCTGGTGCCCAGGCTCAGACCTTCGACTTTCAGTTCAGCCCCGAGGCAAATTGCACTTTTGCCCTCGGACTCAACTTGAGTCCGGTACTTAAGACCGGACTCAAGCTGAGTTCGGGGACTCAGTTTTCGGCCTCAATGCTTGTGCTTCAGAGTGACTTGCTGCGACATTGTGTACGACCTGCGTTTCTGCCACACATAGTAGTGAGCGACGTAGCGACTGAATCAGATGATCCAGTGTTGACTCTTCCAGTGCTTCTAGCTTCCCTAACTCCTGCCTCCTAGTTCCTAGTCTAGCTTTTCTCAATATCGCCCTCTGCCTTCTCTTTGTTGCGTCCCTCAACTGCTGCTGTAGTTCATTATGAAGAGCTTCCGCCTGGAGGATCTCATAATCCTTTGGTGTGAGAGGAGACTGTTGGCTGACTTGCGAACCAACAGACTGACTAACGGGACCCTGAGAAACACCCTAACTAACTCCTGACGAAGAGGCCCGGGAAACGCCTGTGACATGGTAGAGGCGGTAGCCATTGCGGCCTCGACGCTGGCTGCTGCTGCCCTAGACCTGCGTAATGCCACCCTCTCCCTGGCTTCAATCCGCAGCCTCCTTTCCTCTCCTGGACCGAACTCCTGGAAAGTGATTGGTCGACTAAGAGCAGTTTTGTGGGTAACTCTAAGATCTTCCACTAACCGTTCCTCCTCCTCACTACTAACTGCTTCACTCATGAGCTATAATGGTGTGTGATCTAAACTAGAATCCACACTGAATCCTACCTCAGCATGACACCCAACCGAGTATAATAGTCAAGTATTTCGGTCAGCCTAGAGAAATGTAGTCAAGTGGTAACCAGCAACTAATGTCAGGTCCTAAAGGTAACCCTCTTTTTTTTTTTTTCTTTTTTTCTTTTTTTTTTCTTTTTCTTTTTTTTTTTTTTTTTTTTTTTAATCATGGTCCTGGCTCCTTCTATTATGGGGAGCGTCAGTCCGGTTCCTATTCCACCGGCAAGTCGGAATTATACACAACAATTAAGACACACTCACGCTTCCTTCTGTCTGGCCGAAGGACCCTTGAGCAGCATTGATTACTCCGTCTTGACGGAGGATTGTCTGTCAACTTGCCATGACACCCTCTCTCCTCTCAGACCTGGTGGCTAGGTCTGTCAGGTAGTTCTATATTCCTAGAAAGAGTTTGCCCGGTTGTCTTGTCTGTCCCTTGTACTTCCTTTTATCCATCCTTACCCGAGAGCCACCTCCCTGCCCGAAATTTCTCTACCCTCTCTGAAAATCCCTTAAACCCTTAATCCCTAAACCCTCGACTACTATCCTGCTCTATGACACCCTTACTTCCGTCTTATCCACCCCTCGTGGATGTCTGATCATGGAATGTTTTGTCCACCCGCAGTTGTCTGTTGCTGGTGAATCCTTCCTGGGGTTGAG